GAAGTGGTAGGAGGCAAACTAGGAAAGAATTAGGAAAAGAAGAGGAAAAGCTTGAAGTCTTAGAAACCAAGATAAATTTATATGAAAAAGAGAAAGGGATATACCTACAAAAATACATCCAGTCCTCAGACCTAATTGCAATCATCCCTCATGAAGGCATTAAGGCAAGGAAGGCCATCTACCCAACTGTAAACAATATGGCTAACACACACTGGGAAACAGTAGACAGAATACCATGGCAATCTTAGTAGAAAAGGGGTAAATTATCATATTTCAGCAATGCTCTGATTGCCAGTACAAAAGTAAATGGCCAGTACAAAAACAAATGGCATGTGGAGAATTACAGTTGATTTTAGAAGAGGGATGAATAAGGTACCAATCCTGAATGATGATGATGGTCACATCCCAAATACTCTAGCAAAGGTGGGACCTCATGTAAAGATCTTTTCTGTCTTGGACATAACAAAGAGGCTTTGGTATTCACCACTGAAGGAGATATGATAAAAACTGTATTCATGAAGGGAGGTAGACCGTGATGCATGAATAGTGCTATCAACTTCCCATAGATATATGGAGACTCTCAAAAACAACCCACATAATTTGGTAATCTAACATCTAATCTATGTTAGATTATACATGTGATTTCTAACATGCATATCACAGGAAGATCCGAAATTAAACAAGTGTGAAACTGCAAACTAGTACAACCTCTATGGAAAGTAGTATGGAGATACCTCAAAGAACTAAAAGTAGACCTACCTTTTGATCCAGCAATCCCACTACTGGGTATTTACCCAAAGCAAAAAAAAAGACATTTTATAAAAGACACCTGCACTGAAATGTTTATGGCAGCACAATTCAGAATTGCAAAGATGTGGAAACAACCCAAGTGCCCATCAGTACATGAGTGGATTAATAAAATGTGGTATATGTATACCATGGAGTACTACTCAGCCACAAAAAAATGGTGAACTAATACCTGTTGTATTTCTGGATGGAACTGGAGCCCATTCTTCTAAGTGAAGTATCACAAGAATGGAAAAACAAAAACCACATGCACTGATGAAGTCACTAGGCAAATAGATGAGAAAACCCGGTAACACCAGGTTTCTATAATGGTTAATATACCATTGGCGAGAAAGGCCAACACTTGGTCCAGTTATCTAAATGAACCACTGGTATGAGAAAGGAGGTAGCAGCCAGCATCGAAAATATTTAAAGAGACAGCAGCCTGGGCACAAGCGTTGGCCTTACCAAACACTTGGGAACCTTGTAACCTCTGCCTCATAATAGTTCCCAATACCATAGCTATGGATGGTAAAATCTCATTTGTTAATGGACAGAAATCAGAACCTAGTACTTTGTATCAGTGCAGAACACCCACTGACTGTTCACAGAGGGTGTAGATCTTATAAGAACAGATTATTACTCTCCGAAGACATCCTACACCTTTTTATGAAATTACTAAGGGCTAAGAAGGGCTAGGTATACAAGTATCTTAATTTGGGTTCCCTTAGAAGCAGATCCTGAGACAAAGATTCTAATGCAAGTAGTTTGTTTAGGAATTGGCCTCAGGGAACACGCATAAGGGAGTAGGGAAGTGATATAGGGAAAAGAAAGCGGTCAATGAAGAGCACCTTATCAAGAAAGTTACTACTGTAGGTGATTGGAGCTTAATCTCACAGGTAAACTAAGGGGAACCAGATAAATCACATGCTTTAGTTACTTTGCTCAAGGGGAGAGAGAGCCAGGGTACTTAAACACCAACTCCCATCAGTTTCTGACTGAGAGCCACTCCCAGAGGTGCTAATCCCTAGCTCTACCAGTCTATCATGCAGAGTGGGGAAAAAGCCTTCCAGGCCTCTGAAAAAGCCCTCAGACAGATACTGGCAGTTAAAAATCAGCTGGAGCAAACAGAAATAAGACTGAGGGATAGGGGAGGCGACAGTCAGCGTTAGCTATGTATATTTGAACCACAGAAAAATCTTACTCCTTTTCTATTGGGGAAAGTAGCTTAGGCAGACTAAATGGAGACATGGGGCAGAATACTTAGACATTTGAAATTTGATGGCAACTTGAGGATTTCAGGAGTTGGTAAGAACACCTGGAGAAAAAGCAATGTGGACACCAACATTAATCATGGGCTTTGAAACTGGTCTGGGGATCTTAGTTAGCTGCATTGACTACTGCACCATAGGGGGTGGTGGCTAACAGACCACAGTGGGGACCTTTGCCAATAATTTGGAAATAACAGCATTTTATTTTGTCATCAGTGAATAGTTTCGCCAGTTGAGTAGACGCTTTTCAAACCAAACACCCAGCAACCAAGAAAGCTGAAAAGATTTTAGTTCGACAACCTCTTAACTCAGAAGTCTCAAAGAAGTAAATATGGAGACATATTTCTTGGGAATATTTTATAATCTGACAAGAAACTGTACAATAAAGACTGAGATACAAATGGCTCCAATGAAAATGAGAGATTACTGAGCTCACCACCTTCTTTTGATTCTAAGGAAATTAGGATCTGAGTATTCAATAGATCAAGATAGATGCTTTATGAGGGCCTCTGTGTAAGCTCTAGGGTTTAGGGAAAACCTATTCACCCCTTATCTTCTACAAATAGAGGCCTTGAGTTAAGGAAGCCACTCAGGGTCCCTGTTCCTCTGCTAGCTTTCCTCCCTGTACATTTTCCAAATGAGGAATCAAGTTGGGTCAGATTTCAGCATAATTAATTGGACCATTTTTGCTAGTGGGCACGGTCATTGTGCTTTTATAAGATTCCATTCATGTATACAGCACTCTCTCCTGCTTCCTGTGGCTTCCATGCAGATGGTGCGATAAACTATCTGGATTTCTCTCCCCAGCGTGGCAGCCAAGTTTAGGGATACTATTCCATTAGTCTAGGGCTCTTTTTTGAAATGGGATTTCTTTGTTGGGACTTTTAAATTTTCTATGGGAGTTTAATTTCTCCGTGGAAATTTTACAATAAGTATTTTGTATTTCCAACGTGGTATTATTTGTACTATCCTATCATCAGGCATTCATTGTATGGTTCTCCTTGGTAGCCTAGGTTCAACTGTGTAGCTGTACATACTTTAAGATGAGAAATAAAACAGGTAGTAAATGCTTCACTAAATATTAATATAGTGTGCTCTTTAGATCCTCAATGAAATCATTTCACAAGTTTCTAAGGATGACATCAGAAGCATTCGTTTTGAAGGCATTGGGGAGCTAAATTTTAACATCTCTTTGTTCCAAGGCAGGCTTCTAATAGCCATGATATTGAGGGAAATGACTCCACAGAAAGGCTGGAAGAACTTACCTGCAGATTTTCTCCCCTAAGGTAAAAAGTCATATACAGCTCAGCTATTAACCCTTTAGGGTTAATAGAGAAAGAACAGTAAGTAGAGATTGTTAAATTTCCACAAAGGAGTTCAAAGATCCTAACTGTACCTGCCCCCACCCCATCTTCATTCCTCCCTAAGAAAGGATGAACTGATTGGTAAGAATACAGGCCCCTCACTGGGCTGATTTCTAATACACATAACTTCGGGTTATCATAACTTGGGGTTATGGGGTTACCAGAACTTGGGGTTATCAGTAAAAACCTCTTGGGTATTATTTTCTCCTGCTCAGGTGATGGACTGTAGCTTTTCATAACAGTGAAATAGAAAATTCTGAGATTTGATTTTGGGCTTAAGAGCTCTAGATTGGAGTTTGGAGCCAAAGCAGCAGCTAGTGAAGTACTATTAAATACTTTGCTTACCTTTGCTTCCTTTGTGGGCCTTACAGAAAAGGTAGTTAAGCCAAGGACAGATTTGGGTATCTCTGGGTCCCTTGATCTAGTATCATCCTAACCTTGTCTCTAAATAGCACCTCAATTTCACCCCAGCCCCCAAAAGAGTATAAGAATCTAAGTTCTAATCATGGAAACAGTAAAAGGAATCCAACCAAGAGCATGGCAGTTAGAAATATGAAATCTGAACAGTGAATGAAAACTTAGAAGAACTTGTAGGTTGTCATTCTAGACAATCTATTCCTATGCTGCAGAACCCTTATGAGAAGACTGAGGATGTGAAAGATGCTAACTTACACACAGGGGCTACCCAGGGTTTGCCAGTGGTACACTAAATAGAGTCTGATAAGAAATGCAAAAGATCTTGATAGAGGGAAGAGACTACTCTTTAGTGGTCCAAACCTTGTTTTGGTAATTAACATCACTATCCTGCATTCCCAGCTTTTCTTATTTGCTGTGTATTTCACACTAGCTTCTGATCCCATTTTCTTCATTCTTATAATGTGACCTTGACTCTGATTAATTCCACACTAACAGTTTCATGTGACAGACTCGGGTTCTTTCCTGAACTGACAGCCCCTGTGGCAGAGGCAGTAATGTAAGACATTCCATTTTTTCCCCTACATTTGCCAACCCTCTTGCAAGTACATAGGACAACATGACCAGTTGGTGGCAATGAAATATAAGTGGATGTGACATGTCACTTCTGGGTTGAGGCGGTAAAGAGCCTACATGAGATTCTCCAGCCTCTCATTTTCTCCTACAAGTGCCAACTGAAAAGGCCACATGTCCTGGATGATGCAGCTACAAAAGAGCAGAGCCTCCATCAGTCTGGAACCTTGAATGACTGTGTAGAACAGATCCCTTCCCATTCCCACATCCCTATGACCTGCGTAGGATATGTAGTGTGAGTGAGAAATAAACTCTGAGTGTGTCAAACCTCCGACACTTTGAGATTGTTACCTGGGAATAACTGTATTCTTAACAAATACAGCCCCCCTTCTGCATGCATTATTTCATACTCTTAACTTAGTTGTTAACAAACCTATATGTTATATCCAGACTCCTCTGAACTGGCTCTATGGGACAGAAGATCACACACAAGTCAGCAAGCAAAGCTTTAGCTTTCAACCAAATACGTAGTAGTGAGCAATACAATTCAGTAAACACAACTACTTTCTACTGCACAAAAAACAGGAAATAATTAAATTTCTTATAGACATTTCTTTATTATATTTTCCCACTTGAATATTTAGAGAATAATTTAAATGTAATGCATACTGACAGCAAGCACAGTATCAAATATTAGGGTTTTTTAATATTTTCTTTTCTCACCCTTTATTCCTTTAGGAAAAAAAATATTTAGATGACCTCAAAGAAACAATTATTATGCTAATCACAGTATGCAGTAACACATACAAGCCCAGACTCAATAGAAAAGAAAGCAACAAAGAAGTGAAAAAGTCTTTCTCCTCAAATCATTTTAATTCATTTTTCCACAGCCATATAAATTTAAAGTATGAAACAACAATAATACAGCTATAGAATCTAGGTTCTCTTTCAAAGCAGCGGCATATAAAACATAGAAAAGCTAAAACCTCAGCACAAGCTTCAAAAGAACAAGGACTGAGAGGATTTTGATGAAGACATGAAATGCACAAAATACAGTACACAAAAATACTAGAATGCATAAAATATAAAGCTACACATTTCAGGTAGAAAGCATTGTAAAATATATAAAATATGCAAGAAATCAAAACCAAAGAGATTTTTCTTAGAGTACCATGAATACACTGGAACTGGCAATTAGCATTTGAAGATGGGAACAAGAAAATAGCAGTTTCCCATTTAAAACTTTATTTCTAGGCTTTAGGATTTCACCTTCTTGACATCCTTCTTTCCAGAGCTCTCAGTAGCTGACTCTGCTTTTCTTTTCTGTGACTAAAATGGAAACAGATTTAATGTTCTGCTCCAATATGCACATTTTTAAATGGCCCAACAATGTTAAATCTAGGATGTAAATGCATTAAAAAAAAATTTTAACATGAATATTCACTTAAATGTTATACTCACAGTTAATGTTCTATATAGCCCAACAAACTATATAACCCAATGTAAAATAACCCTCAAAGATGTTTCTTTTTACAAAAAGACATAAAATACCCATCAAAAATAGTCATGAAGTATCTACTTACACATGGTATTATAAATGTACTCTTATCTTAAAGAACTACTTAATAAAGTTTTCTGGGCAAAAGTTTGAGTGTATAATTTTTAAAAAACTTATGATCGATTTCAACATACCATATTTCATATCTTCTACGATGCACACTGTTTTCACATTTTAGCATCTGTGCAATCAGGATGCATCTTATAATTATTGAGAAATTATACCTGGCAGCATTTTTTCTCAGTGGTATATAAAATAATGCTGTGTCTTACAATGGGAAGCATCCTAGATTTGATGAAATATGGCAGTTTACTTAGCCACGCTCAAATAATATGATCTCTTAAAGAATATTTTAAATTATAGCTATACAAAACAACCTGACTAGATTAATATCAACTTATCTTATTATTCAACAGTTAACTTATTACCACGTAAAGTTTTGTTGTATGTTCAAAGTTCTCATTTGCACTCATGGTTCCACAAAGATCAGAAAACTGATTTGATCAAATCAGAACTCCCAGTTTCAACCTCGGCCCCACCCCATCCCACCCCTACCCTTCTCCTACCCCCCCTAATAGCTCCAGTCTCAATTCAAAGGATTTTACTTGCATTAATATTTCTGCTTAGATTCATGAGGAATTTTTAAACACTGAACTCAGTTATTAGGGAGGAGTTCCTAACCATATGTTCTACAAATAGGAAACATGTGGTTGAGGTATAATTCTTTTTCTGTCCAAAACAAATCAGCATTTTATAAAACCAGCTTTTGTAATAGGTATCGGTTATGGCAATAAACATAATATAGGCATTTTAATTATGTAAAAAAATGGGATCTACCTAAAAGTTAGGAAAATGCTGAAAATTTTACCATTGGAGTTTTAGTTGCCCGTTTCTTCTTTTCTGCTCTCTCTCTTTCCTCAATTTCCATATTTTCTTTCTCAATCAATGAAATCAGAGTGTTACAGCGTCTCTGGAATTCCTAAACAACATAATAAAACAAATTTTTAATTTCTGTAACCCAGTCATAATCTTTAAAAGGGTGACAATTCTTTAACTGTATTATTTCTGTGGTACAGAATTTCTAAAACTGATATTCTTCAGAACAATATTCATACAGGGTATTAATCCCACCAAAAATAAGGGGTGGGGGTAAGTGTCATTTGGTGGGTGAATGGTTAAACAAACTGTGATATATCCATATCATGAAACACTGCTCAGCAATAAAAAGGAAAGAACTATTAATGCATGTAACAACCTGAATGAACCTCAAAGGAACTATGCTGAGTGAAAAAAGCCAATCTCAAAAGGTTACATACCACATTATTCCATTTATATAGCCTTCTTAAATGAGAAAGTTATAGCAATGGGGAACAAATCAATGATTGCTAGGGGCTAGGGAGAGGGTGGGTGTGACTATAAAGAGTTAACACAACAGTCTTGCCATGGTGGTGGTGATTACACAAATCTACACATGATAAAACTGCATTGTACTACATACACACATATAAATGAGCACATGTATAACTGATGAAATATGAACAAGTTCTGTGGATCATACTAATGTCGATCTCCTGGTTATGATCTTTTCCTACAGTTATGCAAGATGTCACCACTGGGGAAAATGGGTGAAGGGTTTATGGAACCTTCCTGTACATTTCTTTACAACTTTCAGTAAAGTTAACATAAATCACAAACAAAAGATAAATAATGAGATGTTCTATGGTCAAAATAAGTTTTGGAAGTACTCAGTTTACAAAAGTTAAACAGCTTTCTTCCCTACAGAGCTTCTCAAAACCTTTTAGTTCCTAACGTACACTGTGAACAACTAGGCAGGAGATAGAGAATACAGCAGTTTTCAAAGCTATTTAAGCAACTGACTCTATTCTCTCTCACTGGACATCTTGTGGGACCAGAGTTCTGGGGAACATATCTCAGGAAAAACTGCTGTATGTGTTAATTCAGAGTAAACAATACCTGAAAAGATTTTTACATTAACCTTGCCACTATCTACATTTCACTGCTAGCAAATCAATGCATCTAAACTATAAACAGTTTTTATGAATGTATGGTGAGCATTAAATATATGATTCATTGATAAGGAAACTCATGTTATTAACTCTATACACTTTGCTGTATTTTAAAGGTAAATAATAGCTTAATATCAAAGAATAAATAACATTTTAAAATATGATTTCTTTTCTGTGTAAGGAAATCAGACAAATTACAAAATAGCTAAATACTCAGCAAAAGCTTAGGTTTACTGGCAACTAACAACCACAACCAAAAAAAAAAAGTCAAAGTACAGAAATAGAAAACTCACAAAAAATATCCAAATATTAGAAAACAAGTTTCACTGCACTAATGATCAAAGAAATGTAAACCAATGCCATCTTCATCAAATTAGCAACATGTGCATGTTCGTGTGCATGTGCACACGTGTGGTATACATACCCAGTGTTGGCAATAAGATGGTGAAATGGGAACTCTCATTCAATGATGGAGTGTCAATGTGATTACCTGTTATGCACTGAACTGTGCCTCCCTAATATTCATATTTTGAAGCCCCAACCTCCAATGTGACCATATTTGGAGATGGGGCCTTTAAGGAGGTAATTAAGTTTAAATGAAGTCATAAGGGTGAAGCCCTAATCCAACAACACTGGTGTCCTTATAAGAGGAAGAGACATCAAAAAAATCTTTCTCTTTCTCTCTCTGTGCAGAAAGAAAGGGCCATGTGATGACACTGTGTGCAGAAGGTAGCCACCTGCAAGCCAGGAAGAGAGGCCACACCAGAAACCAACACTGCTAGCACCTTGACCTTGGACTCTAGTCTCCCGAACTGTGAGAAAATAAATTTCTGTTGCTTAAGCCACCCAATCTGTGGTATTCTGTTATGGCAGCACAAGCAGACTACTATACTACCTTTGTAGAAAGCAAATCAGAAATATCGATGAAGGATCTTAAAATTTTTATGCCCTTTAACCTAACAATTCCATTCCTAGAAACTTACTAAAAGGAAATAAGAGATGTATATGAGGATTTACAAAAGAATGTTTAAAGCAGTGTTAACAGGAAAATACTGGGAACTAATTAAATTTTTGGTAATTTGGAAATAGAATACACAGGCACATCTTATTATATAAATATATACACATAAATAGTTGAAATAACATAAACAACAATGTTGGTAGTGGTTAACAGCAACTATCTCTGACAGTAGGACCATTGGCAACTTTTATTTTCTTCCTGACACTAGGCTGTATTTTCCAAATTTTCTGCAATGAACATTTAAGTCTTGAGCAAAAGTATTTAAGAATGGTATTTTTAAAATACAGCTTTATCTTTTCAAATAAAATCTAGAAAATATGACATACTACAATGACATAGAAAATGTCAGAGAAAATTCTACTCTCTAAAGCAAGCCCCAAAAGAGGCAGAAAACCAGAGTCTAGTCATAAAAAAAAATACTCATTAACAAATTATTTACCTATTAAAAATAATCTTATATAACACTGTTACATTCAACTTTCTTTTGCATACTTGATTACTCGAGGTTAAATAATTTAGAAAATACTGGAATCTTCCCTACTTACCAATACAATCTTGATATCTTTAATATGCAGACCAAATACTCTTCATAGCTTCATTCAATAACACACATACAAATTAAACAGCATGTTATTCAATTTATCTATTATAGAAAGGGCTAAGTTGACCCTGATGAGATTTGATCGTTGGTTTCTAGGGAGACTGAATACAGTCTTTATGTGAAGCTGATTCTTGAATCATTAAGCTATACCCTCTGGCTATTATTATTCTCAATAAGTAATAGCTGCCTTGACTGCAGATGTCTTTAGATACATATTCATGGTTCATGTGGCTGATTCAGGGAATAAAACTAATACTTTTGATACAGTCTCCGACGCAGGGAAGTAGAATATCTTAAAATTATAAATAGACTATATAATAAGTTCTTACCTTCATTCCTTTTATCTTGTCACTAACTATTCCAGACACAGAAAAATAATCTAACTCTCTAAAGAAAGCCATCAAGGAATGACTGAGTACGAATGTTACCTTCCTAGCATAGGTCATATTATACTCTCTGGAGATACCAATTCCATTTTTTATTCACATGCTTTAAGACTGCCTAACTAAATAGATGGTATAATTCAGAACACTCGCTAAAACCAAAAATTACAATGAGAAAGGCAAGATTACCAATAAAACAGTGACTCACTTTTTGAATAACTAGGTCACTATGAAATGATTAAGAAATTTCATGATGTCAAAAGGACTTTCCTTTTCTATAATTTCTTCTTTTATATATTCTCCTAGATTCTTGTACCTCCCTATTCTTCCTATTTTGCAAGAGTTATAGAGAATGATCCACGGGGCCTCAAACTGTTTGCACAATTATTCTGTAGTCTAATTATCTCTTTCTCTCACCATATCCCTACACTGGATTTAGGAATGAAGTTGGAGGAAGTAGCACACAAGAGGAAGAGAGGAGATGCAAAAACAATGAAAGCAACAGAAGAGAACAAGAAAATAACAAATGGAAAACTGTCTGTAGTGTTAATAGCTGTGGCAAAAATATATTCTGTGCTCAAATGTATATGAGCAACGTTGGATTTTAAAAAGGTTAAATAAATTTCTTCAAGGCAGGACTTCTCAGAGCTTTTTAGCATTCTAATTTAGAGTGGAAGTGTCAAGGGATGGATTCATTATCAGTACGTCCCAAATCTATTTGAACACAGAACCCTTGTTCTGCATCTCATCTATTTGCATATACTGGAACAAAGTTTGGTAGAAACCAACTTGGAAAATGTTGTACAATTTAAGATTAATAGATAAGGCTAAGTTAGGATCAAAATACAGACATAACTCATTTTATTGCACTTGACTTTATTGGGCTTCACAGATATTGTGTTCTTTACAAATTGAAGGTTTGTGGCAATCTTGCATTGAACAAATCTATAGGCACCATTTTTCCAAGAGGATGTGCTCACTTCATGTCTCAGTGTCACATTTTGGTAATTATCACAACATTTCAAACTTTTTCATTATTATTATATCTCTTATGGTGATCTGTGGTCAGTGATCTTTGATTTTACTATTTTAATTGTTTTGAGGTGCCACAAACGATGCCCATATAAGACGGCAAACTTAGTAAATAAATGTTTTGTGTGTTCTGACTGCTCCACTGACCAGAAATTCCTTTATCCTCCTCCCTTCTCCCCAGGCCTCCCTATTCCATGAGACACAACCATATTGAAATTAGGCCAATTAAAAACCTTATAATGGCCTCTAAGTGTTCAAGTGAAAGGAAGAGTCCCACATATCTTACTTTAAATCAAAAGCTAGAAATGATTAAGCTTAGTGAGGAAGGCATGTCCAAAGTCAACACAGGCCAAAAGTAGGCCTCTTGTGCCAAACTGTGAATAAACAGGAAAAGTTCTTGAAGGAAATTAAAATTACTACTCCAGTGAACACATAAACGATAAAAAAACAACCTTATTGCTAATATGTAGAACGTTTGTGTGGTCTGGATAGAAGATCAAAACAGCCACAACATTCCCTTAAGCCAAAGCTGAATCCAGAGCAAGACCCTAACTCTTCAATTCTGTTAAGGCTCAGAGAGGTGAGGAAGTTACAGAAGAACAGTTTGAAGCTAGCAGATGTTGATTCATGAGGTTTGAGGAAACTGTCTCCGTAACATAAAAGCACAAGGTAAAACAGCAAATGCTGATATAGAAGCTGCGGTAAATTACCCAGAAAATCTACAAAAGGTGGCAACACTAAACAATAGATTTTCAATGTAGACAAAATAACCTGATTATCGGAAGATGCTGCTATCTAGGACTTTCATAGCTAGAGTGGAAAAGTAAATGCCTGGCTTCAAAGCTTCAAAGGACAGGCTGCCTCTCTTGTTAGGAGCTAATACAGTTAGTGACTTTAAGTTGAAGCCAATGCTTG